TGTTCGAGAAGATTTGTATAAAATCGGTTAACTTCATGAGAGTTAAATACGTCTGTAATGTAGATAGCTACACCGCCACCTCGACGTCCGTCTTGACGATCTTTACGATATAGGCTATACCCATCGATATTAGGTACTGAGTCATTTCGAAACCATGTTTCAGAGATAGCAATAACGTGATAATCAAACGTTCTAGATATTGAAATTAAATCGGCCATTTTATTATCGAGAGATGTAGCATTAGTATAATAACAATTAACGCTATAGTTTGTTTTTTTGTTATGAAGATTTTTACTTTTGTATTTTAAGTTTGCTGGTAAAAGAGTGGAAGAAGGGTAGTAATGTTTATGTAGTGGTTTGTATATTTTTGAGTTTGACGACTCCGCTGCTTCGTATACCGTATCTAAAGGGCAATGTTTTTATTGTTATTATTTAATATTTAATATTTATTACTTATTAAATATTTTTAAAGACAGATTTCAAATTACATTTTTGATTGTATGTAGAAAATATTTTTTTTTGTAAAGTACTAGTTGAAGTCAAATAATTCACTCTAATTTCTTTATTTCTTATTGGTTGTTTTAACGTTTTTTATCAATTAAGTATAGTTTTATAGTTTTTTAAAATTATAAACAAATAGTTAATAAATAAAATTATACCAGCTAGGAGACCTTGTTGGGTCCACGTTGTTTTACCGTTGATCCAGCGCATCCGAAGTTGTTTCAACGTTTGCTCAACGTAGTGTGTCAGATGGAATAGTAATATTTCAAAATTTGTAAAGGTGCAAATTCATAATTTTTTTTTTTTTTTTACAATTTTACAGCTTTTACTTATTTGAAATGATAGCATCAAAGTTATCTTAGTCCAATAAAAACCGTTTTCAAAACTCACGGTCTATAAATAAATTATTATAAAGTTACATTTTAGTTTTTTCATTTTAAAACCTCGTAAATTTACTATTATCGGGATGTGATAAGTAGAATTGAACGCTGTATTTGGAAAGCGTGACGAGTCACACTTTTTCCAAAAATGAGGTTATTTGAAGAAAATATTTTTTTTAGGAATAATTGATGCTTCGGATAAAAAACTTTTCTGATTTAAGATATAAGATCTAAACGCTTATTACTTTAAGTAAGCTACAAAAAAAAATTTCTTACAATTTTTTACAAAAGAAACATTTTTTATTCTCCTGTAAAATTTAAATTTTGTGACTCGTTACGTTTTCAAAATACAGTGTTCAATTTAAAAGTGTGTTTGCTTAGGCAGCCATTGGCAGTCAACATTTTAGCCACATGTAATGCCATGCTGTTACTTCATGATATTTAATTTCAAGTGATTGATACAGGTTTAAACTTTGGTTTTAAAAAATATGTTTGGAAAAAAATTTAGTAATTATCGAAGCTAAGAAATTTGCAAAAAGTGGAGTTAAGGGGCTTGGCTTCCCTAGTACCAAGCAACATTGGCGTAATATTGGCGCAATATTGATCTCAATATTGACTAAATATTGTTAACAATATTGCACCAATATAAAATGTCCGCATTCTGATATATATAACCAATATTGATTTACAATATTGGCTATATAATTGCAATGTAACGCCAACAGATTTTTTTTCATAAGCATTTTATAAAAAAAAGGTAAAGTTTAATGCAAGTCAACGAATACAGAAAATCTATAAACATTTCTATTTGTATGATGTATATAAACGTGTTTATGTACACGTATGAATACATGCTTATACAACAACACGTACTGTAGTCGTATTGTTGAGATAAATGGGATTCGGGCGCAAATATTAATTAAATTATTCAGTATTTAACTGCTTATTAATAAACTAAGACAACAACGCTGGAGGAGGATAAATCACAATACTAATATTAAAAAGCTAATGAGACAAAATTGGCATACCAATATTGCCAATTCAGCTCCAATATTGGTATTCTAATATTAGACAAGCAATATTGGAGCAATATCAGCATGCTAATACTTTCCAATATTGGTTTGCTAACACTAGTCGACTATCTTACAGACAACTTATGAGTCTTATAGGATCGCATATAATCTTATACTATCCTACAGGATATCTTACAGGATTTGTAAGATTTAATTTGTCTTTCAAATCCTATAGGACCATAAGAAATCCTGTGATTACCCATAGGGTATCTTAAAGGATTCGTAAGATTTTATTTGTCTTGCAAATCCTATAAGATCATAAGAAATCCTGTGATTATCCTGTAGGGTATCTTAAAGGATTCGTAAGATTTTCAATTTTTAAATTTATTTTGAAAAATGAAAAACTTATCGGTGGTGGATTTCCAAACCCGGATCACTAGACCATTAATGCCTTACCACCTGCGCTATACAACATTATAAGTATGGAAATAAATAAAAATATATTATAATTAAAAAATAATTAAAAAATATTTTTATTGAATGTATTTAAATAAAAGTGTTGTAAAAAAATTAAATAATAACAAATAACTATATATATATATATATATATATATATATATATATATATATATATATATATATATATATATATATATATATATATATATATATATATATATATATATATATATATATATAAAATGCCGCTAAGAACTGTTTCGCCGCCCGGGACAGCAACATGATTGGCGTTCTTAATTATTGAAATTCTCCTATATTATCGGTAAAGGACCTTTGTTCCAAGGTACCTTCATTCTATTTGGTGGCCCTTGGAAATCTGCCGCCCGGGATAATCTGCTCCTTACGTTAAAATTAAATTATTACCAAAAAAATCTACTTGAATTAAAATTTTTCTCGCAATCAGAGTGTACATTGAATTGCGTGACTTTCTGAGTAAATTGAGTCGTAGAGTGACGTGATTTAAATCATTAGGCATTATGAATTGCGGGCAATTCATAATGCCTTCCAATAGCGCATTCAAATCACGTCACTAGCGCATTTAAATCACGTCACAAATCAGAAAAATTAAGATATTAGATACAAAATTAAGATATTAGATTCTCAAACAGCATGTTCATTATAATGAACATGCTGTTTGAGAATCTAACATCTTTTTAATTTTTGTTAAAGAAATATATAAATAGTTGCTATATCATGATTATTTTATATTATAGATTTTACGAAAATTTTATAAACTTGGTAACATAAATATGCATAAATTTTGTTGTATTAATAATTATTATTGTATTTAAACTTTACTCTAATTAATTAATAAAAATTAATAATAAAAATTGTTATATATTTATTTTACATATTATATATATATATATATATATATATATATATATATATATATATATATATATATATATATATATATATATATATATATATATATATATATTACATATATATTTTTTAAAGTATGAAAGTTTGCTGTATTTTTAACACGATACTATTAAATTTAAAATGTTTTAGAGAAAGCCTGAATACAACTCATGGAGAGGCTGATAGGTAGGTTTTTTAATTAGGGCATTTTTATGTAGGTAATGTTATTGGGCAGCAGCTTTAAGGCTTACCTGTTTTTTATAAGTTGTTGGCACAGGGTGGGAGGGGGTTATTTAGAAAATCATACTTTCAGTGCTTGGGTTTTTATTAAATTTTCTATTTTTCTTAACCTATTTTGAAAATTTGGGATCAATTAGTTTAACTTGTTGGATCATGATCAAGATCCAAAAAAGTAGGATCTTGGACTAACATTTTCTCATACTTCATTTATTGAAATAATTATAAATATGTAAGTATAAAAAAAAGCTTCTTGGAAAATATGAAACTTCAGGATTACAAAGAAAAGCCAGAATTCAAAATTTAAGTTTTTGACCTGTCATTCGTTTGACCGAATCGATCCATGGATTTGACTAATATGCTCAGATTAGGCATTTCAAATGAACTTTTTTTTTTCTTAAATTCGCCTAAATATTTGGAGCAAGTAGCTAAAATTTTAAGTGTTTTTACTTTTTACTTAGTCATACTCTTTAAATAATTTAAAAATTTTGTCAGGGGGTAATAATCCCCCCCCTCCCTTGTGTCTGCGATGGGTTAAGGGGCGGGACGGGTTTTAAATTTTTAATTAATGATTAATTGCCTGATTTCTATTATTTTTTTTTTATATATCTTTATTTCTTATTATAGAACCACAGTTCCTAATGCAATAATACGAAACCTCAAAGAGCAACTTGCAACAGTTTTTGCCAATTACTCGTGGGCGTGCGTCAGACGAAGTCTTAATCAGAGCGGCCTAGATGGGAAGAAAAAACGAAAGTAATCAGCAATGCAATTGTGATTCTGTAATAATGATAATATGTGAAAAATTTCTTTTATACAGAATGATTTTTTTTTAATAAGAAAATGTTTTTTCAAACTTTAACTTATCTATTATCAGTAATTAAAAAGAAGAATAGACATACTTTCCTTCCAATCAAAATAAAAACCTAACTTCATATGTTCTTAGTTTGGCAATTAGATTTATGATATTAATTATAAAATAATAAATGTTATGGTTCCTATCATTGGCGTATTAAGACTTTTCAGGGCCCGGAGTCTTTTTTAACGTGCCACAGCATAAATATGACTAAAACAGTAGAAAAAGAAAAAGGTCCGCCTAATAGTAGAAAATAAAAGTCGAATCTAAAATTTTCTTTTAGCATCCTATAAGAATCCTGTTAATCCTGCAAAATCTTTTAAAATATTCTTGTAGATCTTATATTATTTTATAAGAATTCCTTCAAATCCTACAACATCCTTCAAAAGATTCTTGTAGGTCCTGCAAGGACTTGTGCATCTCATCCTATAGGATTCTTGTAGGATTTGTAAGATCAGTCGTCTAGTGAATATTGGCGAAATACATTTTACCATTATTGGCTCAATATTGTATGTCTTGTCCGATTTTGGCCAAGATACCCAATAATGCATCATTATTGCACCAATATATCTTGCTACTAGGGCATATAGTTAGTATATAAAACTAAATCTTTATATATCACTGAACCTTATTACAAAAGTTCTTTTACAAATTGAGTAAATGAAAAGTTATTGGGCGTATTTATATAAAAAATTTATTTACTTTGAGTTACGGTTTATTTTATACGGTTAATTTTATGAATAATGAAGAAAAATACATACAATTCTTATGTCATAATAAAAAATAAGATTTAATGTATATAATAACATTTATTTTTGCTCTCGAATTTTTATACCCTCATTTATTTTAATAAATGGTGTGAACATATTATAAGAAAAATATTACATTTAAATTATTAGTACATTATAATTGTAATGTACTTAATAACATTACTTAATATTATGCTGCAATTATAATTCTTTATGCCTAGGTTTAATATATATATATTTTTATTTTTTTTTTTATTTTTTTTTTTGTATATACTACTTTAATCAAATTTCTCTTAGATTAATTATAACATATACTGAAATATAATTACAATAAATATATTTTTTCATATATAAGTTTATTATACTTGATAAAATATAATATTATATTTTGTTTAATATATTCTTTTTGTTTTTTATTATTTTTATTATAATTATAATATACAGTATTGGACAAAACATTTGCAACCAACATCAAATAATGCTAAAAAGTGTTTCTAATTATACATGTCTTAAAAACGAAACGAACTATACTACCACAGCAAACAGTTCAGGAGTCTGGAGTCATAGCATGCCATGACATGACAAATCAGCTGACAGATGACAGCACACAGGCAGAATTTCGTTGACAAGTGCCATTTTGCAGCGGACAAAACAAGTGCAACTTTTTTGGTTTCTTTCATTTTCTTAAGTCTGGTCCGTGTCAACGTCACGGAAGTTTTTTAATTAATAAAGGAAGTATCCATAAGTTTCCAGAAGTACCCAAAAGCATGCAGAAGCTTCCAGAAGTTTCCAGAAGAAGCATCGGGAAGCATTCAGAAGCATTCAAAAGTATCCAGAAGCATCGAAAGAAGCATCTAGAATCTTCGAGAACATGTTCACACAGGTTCATTTTACTATATAAGAGACATGTAAACCGACATGTAATTCAGTCAGTATATGGAAGTCAATCAGTCAGTATTATCAAGACAGTTTATCGAAGTGAGTTTTATCAAAGTGTTTTATCGAAGAACATCAATACAAGAAGTGAAATACAACAAGTGTTTCATTATATCAATACAGTCCACATCCATCCAAGACGTTGTGTTCCACAGAGCATTATTGCATCATCATAAGGTAAATGTAACACGGTAAGCCTTGAGAAGCGTGATTATTTACTTTTGACTTCAAGTGCAAAAAAGGCTCCCGACAGTCTTGGATTGGAACTAAGAAAGAAAACTATTTGCAATTACATAAGTGGAATGTCACAAAAAAGTATTTGTGATAAATATCGCGTGAAAAAATGGATCGTATCAAGACTATGTTCCAAAAATCGTTTTACGGAGAAGTTGGCAGCAGGTAACAAAGGTGAAAGATCGCGTTCCATCAATTCTAGAGAGGATTCTATGGTCGTCAGATCCTTCAAGAAGAATCCTTGGATATCATCAGTCGAGATACAAAAGAAATAAAAGCTGCCTGTTTCAAACCGAACAATCAGACGACGTGCTGTTGAAGCCGGATTGTTTTCTCTACGCCCTGCAAAGAAACCGCTGATTTCACTAAAGAACCAGAAGAAAAGACTCCTGTTTGCTACATCTCATATTGACTGGAATGTGCAGAAATGGCAAACTGTCCTGTTTAGTGAATAAAACATTGAAGATCGTTGCCTCTAAACAGTAACACAGTTATTTCTCTAAATTGAAAAAATGCAGCACTTTTATTTAAAGAAACTAAATAAGCATTATTTGGTTGCACTTGTTTTGTCCAATACTGTATATGTAGTAATTAATCAAGGTATAATTTATTAAAAACTGTATAAAAAAGATAAAAAAAAACAATTTATTTCTCATTAGAATGTCAAAATGTGATATAAAAAATCGCTTTAGGGGTGACATGATTGTGTAATTTTAAATTGACATTATGTGATATCATAAACATCTTAGAGTATTATATCACATTCTGAGTACAAGATGAAATCATTTTTTCGTATCATTGGTTGCTCGTGTTATGATATCAAACTTTAACTCAAATTGAGATAATTGTGTGATTTTATTTTTATATCATACTGATCTCATTAGCGATCATGTTATGAAATCATAGGTCTTACAATATAAGGTCATTATGATATAATTTAAGTCTAAATTCAAGTTAAAATGTCAGTCCAAGCTGGCATTGACAGAGCAGAGGAATTATCATATACTTGGCTTATGCATTTCAACGTTGAGAAATGCAAAGTAATGCATGTCGGCTGCGCTTATAACAAGTCGTCGCATGAACACTCAATGGTTAACGTCAATGGCACGCGTCGTTCACTAAAGACTGTAGTTGAACAAGACCTTAGTGTGATGGTCTCCCTTAACATCAGACCACAAGTAGAGTCAGTTGCATCAATAGCGAGTAGAATGCTAGAGCGACTCAAAGAAACATTTCGCAATCGCAGTTTTTATTTTTGGCGCACAATGTGCGCCAATCGTCCAATCTCAATCGCCCGCATCTTGAGTTTGCTGTGCAAGCCTGTGATCGCCGCATTTAAAGTCCGACATTGCCATTCTCGAGCAAGTTCAACATCAAGCAACAAAAAGAATATCATCTATTAAACACTTGTCCCATGATAATCGACTCCAACAGCTTGGTCTAACAATACTTGCAAAAAAGCAATTTAAAACTACGCGTCAACTCAAACTTGTCAGTTTTTTAATCTCGCTTAAACTTTCAACAGTAAAGCCAAGTATATTTTGAGAGGACATAACCACAAACTAAAACACCACCTAGTACGAAATTATGAAGAACGACACAACTTTTTTTCAAGTAGAGTTGTTGTCTCATGGAATGGACTTTCCTAAGCAGCAATCAACACTCCATCATAACAAAGTAACTTTTAGAGACACAATTGCTGCTTTGTTTATAGCGTCTGTGTTTTTATTTTCGTCAGCGTAGAAGGGCCTAGTGTAACACCTCTTCATTAAACTATAAATAAATTTATTGTATTTGTTTTTTGTTGTTTTTTTTTATCATTGAAAAAAAAAATAATAATAAAAAAAAAATGATATCAAATTGCTCACTGGGTGTTCAGATTGAACAAGAATTGAACTGTCAAAAACAAAAATGCAATTTTTCTCAATCATTGAGAAAAACTGATAATTTTATTTTAAATTTTACAATACATTTTTTAAAAATAGAACTACATTAATTAGTTCCATTTTATTTTAAATGAACATTTAAAATAAAGTCGTCAGAACCTTATAAAGTACAAACAAGCAAAATAAAGATATGTATAACATATTAAAAAAAATAAAGAAAAATTTAAAATAAAGTACTAAAATTCAAGGTGAATAATAATTTTTAAAACGTTAGAAGTATGTGAGTATATTATTTTGTGAAAGAATACATTTTTTAGATTGAGTTTAAAAAGACCTTGACTCAGAGGAAAACTTACTTCACCCCTTGCAAAAAAAAAACAAGCTGAAATGACGGATATTAATAATTTAAAAACAATTGCACGAGTTAAAAAAGGAATATGAATGCGGTACAATCTCTCAAACCATGAACGTTTTTGAATTACGGAGATTCGAATTAGATTGTACTGTAATTACAATTCGATAACTGTAATTATTGTAAAACTTTTAAATTCAATCAAATGAATAATTAATAACTAATGATTAAACTAATTGGAATTTTTTAATGGTGGGAAAGTACGAGTCAGTGAGGCACTGTAGAAATTGCTCATCCATTCGGATGGATATGTTTGTTCCGTCCTTCCGGATAGAGTTGCTACGTAGTTTGTCTGGTTTTGTCTAGTTAGTCTAGAACATGATGTAGATTCATGGGTAAGTTTAGATATAACTATTAATAAAAGCTTTAACAGTTTTTTTTTTTTTTTTTTTTTTTAATTCACCTCCTCAAGGCCGAGAAGGCCACTACAGACAAGGAGGCTACTTATTGTGTTTATAACCCTCTCTCAACTCTATAACTCCGAAACACGAACCTTGATGAGCAAGGCCGCTGCGCGGAGAGACGAGTTTTAGGTATTTCTCCCTCTAAAGTATGAAAATATTATTAATAGGTTTCTTTCCATTTTTTTCGGGCCCTCTCTAGTTCTTCCCATTCCATTCTGCCCCTATCTAGTTCCGGTAAAATGATAGTTTTAGCTATAATAATCATTCTCTGAATCAAACCGTTTCAAAAATACTCATTCTCTGGCCAACTATTCGAAAGGTCTGGAACTTAGACAAAGCTGAAATAAGACAGTTAGCAGAAGACCCATGGGAAACTCAGAAAGGGTATTTTATTTGAAAGGAAAATAGTTTGCATATTTATTAGTTCTTTTTTACAAGTTTTTTGCGTAAATGCATTTATTATTTAAAAACTAAAGAGAGAAAGTTTAAACCTGTTCTGAATTATGGGGGCTATAACACCATGTCCTGAAGATTAGGGAGCCCCGAACTTTTTAAGGGGAAACTTAATTTTTGTGAAGATTTTCCGCCACTTTGATAAGAAAAAAGTTCACCTGCTTAAGAATATCCTTTGACTCTAAAAGTCTTGGTTTAAACAACTGCGGTACTTTTTGCGGTACATGAAAAATTTAGGACTTTTCACGTTAATATCTTTATCTGCGTGTAGTATCAGTGAATTCGCTACCGTAAGGTCAGTATAAGCAAAACTTACGGTTCCATAAACAACTAAACCTGAAGCCGTAAGGTTTAGAAGCCCTAAGATATACCTAATGACTTTTTTTTTAGAAAAGTTATTGTTCCAGAGAAACAGAAATTGGGCAACTTGACCACGTATGTCTACTGACAAAAAATACTTTGCTACGCCACTGTTCAGTACATGTATAACCCGAGCTGTAGCTAAGCAATGATTTATACATAGATTAAGAAATAAAACTTGTGGTGATTGGAGCCTGG